AGAGAGAGAGAGAGAGAGAGAGAGAGAGAGAGAGAGAGAGAGAGAGAGAGAGAGAGAGAGGATAGGAAACCGGATTGCAGCAGACCGAGCAGTTACTGTAATGATTTACTAGTGTGCATGAATTGACGGTGGGTCGGATAAGATCACATCGGATACCAGTAGACAATTGTCGATTGTAGAAGTGATAAAAAAAAAGATAATTTTGGGATATGATTGTGTACGTATAACCTTCCCCATCACTTGTCTGAAGGCTACCTGATGAATAGGTCATGAATTCGTATCCTGACGGAAGAAGATGGACAGAATGATATCAATAATACGTTATGTATTGTTAACCTCCTATTTGGAAAACGAAAATTCCCCCCCCCCCTTTCTCCCCCCCTTCTCCCCCCTCCTCCCCCCGCCTTTTTTGAATTGGATTTTAAAAAGTGGATATCGTCGAATGGCAGTACGTCAACTTGCGATTGGTTCTTCGTCATGTAAAGCCGTCCACGTGGTTGTTTTTGTCCCTAGTATAGGTCCTCCTTCCCCCCCCCCACAGAACAAAGAAGGCTCGTTCGTATTGCATCAAACCCTCCTTCGTGTCCGCTCGTGCTCCGTAGCAGAAAAGAGAGGTGGTTCATTTATCTGATTGGCCTGTTGCAATGTGATTAACCGCGGGACGGCATCGCCACTGCATCCTCAAGCTGACGATGCCGTTGAGAACACAATGCAAGGGGGAAATGAAGGGAGGGAGGATGGGAGGAGGAGGAGGAGGAGGAGGAGGAGGAGGAGGGGAGTTGTCTTGGTGATTCAGAGCGTGAAGTAGCGACTTGAGAGGAGCAGGACGCTGAAAACACAATCGATGACAACGCCTCTTCCCTGCTCTTCGTCGTCGTCGTCGTCGTCCTCCTCCTCCTCTCCACCTGTTGAGCCTCTGTCTTCAGTCCAAGAGATGTTCATTACTCACTGCCCTGGTTCTTCTCTTTCTCTTCCTTCAGTCTCTCTTCTCTTCCCCCCTCCTGTTCCTCCTGGATAATGCCGTTGAGAATGCAATCCGAGAGACAACCTCCTCTTCCTCCTCCTCCTCCCTGCCTTCTTTTCTTCCTCTTTCTTCAGTCTCTCCTCTTCCTCCTTGAGAATTACGTTGAGAATGCAATGTAAGGGAGGTCCTGGTTTTTGTCTCCTCCTCCTCTCCTCATTTTCAATTTTCTGTTCAATGCGAGAGACGTCCATCACTCCCTGCCTTGCCTCCTCCTCCTCCTCCTCCTCCTCCTTCTCCCCCTCCCCCTCCTCCTCCTCCTCCATCATGTTCGGGCTCTCCTCCTCCTCCGCCTCCTCGTTCTAGAGAATGACGTTGAGAATGCATGGAGGAGAATGACGTTGAGAATGCAACGCGAGACGAGACGTCCTCCCCCGTATCCTCCTCATACTCCCCGTCCTTCTCCTCCTCTCCTCATTTTCAGTTTCTTTCTTGAGTGCGAGAGACGTTCATCACTTCCCAACGCCTAGTCATCCTCTGTTTTGGGGATCTCCTCTTCCTCCTCCTCCTCCTCTTTTTACCCTCTCTCAGTCGGTCGTGACTGTCAGCGTCGCGCTCATCGCCATCCTCCTGCTCTTCCCGCGCTTCCTCTTTTGCTCGTTTCCAATCTCAAGAAAAGGCGGGAAAGAATAAGCGGGAAAAAAGGCGGGATGGGGTGGGCTCTTAAACCCCATCGATACGTTTTACGACCTCCCTTTTTGCTTTTCTGGACCTCTGGTTACGAGGAGGGGCCCGTTTCTTTTTCCTTTGGGGTCCCCATTTTTCAGTGGATCCGTTGAATTGACGATATAAAAGCCGAAGTGGTGACCGAAAGTGGTCGGGATCGAGCCTAAATGGTCGGGACCGATAATGGGGGTCGAGACCCATAACGGTCACAATTTCGAACTTACAGTATTTCCTTTTTTCTTCCCTTATTCAAAGCAGATGAGTAAAATGAAATACTTTTTTTTTTTTTTTTTTTTCCCAGTAAAATGAAATACTGCTCTTTTCCTTTCTTGTAAAAAGGGTAACGGCCATAAGATATCATTCATTTGAAATTTGAATTGACCGACCCTAGGTAATTTGGAATTGCAGTATTTTGGGGGTCAAGACCCATAACGGTCACAATAACGGTCACAATTTCGAATTTACAATATTTCCTTTTTTCTTCCCTTATTCAAAGCAGATGAGTAAAATGAAATACTACCTTTTTCCTTCGTGTAAAAAGGTAACGGCCATGAGATATCATTCATTTGAAATTTGAATTGACCGACCCTAGGTAATTTGGAATTGCAGTATTTTATTTTACTCATCTGCTTCCAGTGGAGTTTGAACTCAGGTCCGTGTTTCAACAGTTCAGGGGTATACCAACTGTTGGTAAGTTTATCATTGTAGCCCAGTAATCGATCCGCAGCCAAACGGACTTCCGCAGCCAGACGGAATCGAACCGGTGACCTCGGCTGTAACAGCCAGATGCCCTTACCACTGCGACGGTGACCCGGTGTTCGGTCGTGACATTCAGCCCACCCCAGCACCGTTGCCGCAAGGACTTACTCGTCAACACATGACATCCATGAGATCCTCCGCAGTCAGCAGCATCCACGCAGAATCCAAGACCCTCCGCAGCTGCCGATCAGCATCCCATACACCGAACTCCAGGTGAACATCCCCTGGCTGGTTAATGGGCTCGTACCTGTTGGTAAGTTTATCATTGTAGCCCAGTAATCGATCCGCAGCCAAACGGACTTCCGCAGCCAGACGGAATCGAACCGGTGATCTCGGCTGTAACAGCCAGATGCCTTTACCACTGCAACGGTGACCCGGTGTTCGAAAATGAAGCCATACCGGTCGTGACATTCAGCCCACCCCAGCACCGTTGCAGCAAGGACTTACTCGTCAACACATGACATCCATGAGATCCTCCGCAGGCAGCAGCATCCACGCAGAATCCAACTGGCCTATCTCTTTTTTTTTTTTTTTTTTTTGGGAACAAGGCTCCAATCTCAGTTGGTTCACACTTAATTTTTCCGCAGCTGGAGTTGCGCACCATTTTTCCTTTTGGCATTAGTTAGAGATTCCGCTGTTGCCCCTTCAGAATGCACCTGGACACTCTAGTAGGCTGATACATGATGGGCTCCGATACGTGCAGAAGTGGCAATCCTGGAATTTCAGACCCAATGAGAGGCATTTGCATCCTTCGCGCACTTTTTCTACTTTTTTTTTTTTTATTGGTACTTTGACAAAGCGTTTTATATCCGTTGACGACCATCTGTTTCTCTTCGTCCATCTTGAGAATGAAAGAAAAGGGAAAAAAACAAAGGAGAATGGATTTATTTGCTGCTTCGTCTCCCCCCCNCTTGGCTTTTTGGACTTATTCAGTGGGCAAACCGATTTTTTTTATTTTTATTTTTTTTTTTGCTTCGCGCGCGCGCGTGTGTGTGTGTGTGTGTGTGTGTGTGCACTTCACGTATTTCGTCATCAATTCTTGGTATCTTGTGTTTTGCTGGTAATTTTTACAATACGTTTACGAATCACGGTGCTTTTTTTTTTTTTTTTTCCCTTGGTGATTTCGTGTGTGAAGCAGTAGCCCGAGTGCATCTAGCTCGTCCGACGAAAGCTTCTGCATTGAATCTGTGACAAAGTCGAGGGCGGGACGGAGTAGTTCAGGAGCGCGTGGGAAGAAAGACAAGGATGTGACGGTGGAGAAAGCTCAAAAGAGAGTGAGCAGGGAGCGAAAGAGTTTGGCACCGACGAAAACCGGAAGCGAGAATAAACAGCTGTCGGAAGAGGAAGAGCTGTTTTATGAAGAAGCTTTATCTCTTGCGAAAGGTAAGGTAGGAAATTTGAACTAATCTGTAAATTTAATTGAAATTCAAATGATTCAATCGAATTGAATGATGAATTAGATTGAATTATAGATTTGGTCGCCAAGTTCGACTTACGATTGCGTAAAGTAATAAATTAAATTTACTTATAAATTAATAAATTATCATAATTTTCTTAATTTGTTGTACAATCG